TTTTTTAAAGAAAATCCAAAATGGCGGACGAAGATTCACGCTCTACTGATTCGAGTGTTTCAGGTTCCGAAGGTCATTCAGATCCTTTGGGGGTAGCCGCATAAGCAGGGGCAAGACTGAGTACTCTAGCGAAAATGAAAATGAAAATGATTAGAAGTCTTGACCGTGAACAGCAACGACAATTTTATTGGCTCAAATAGAATTTTTACAAAAGAGTAATATTGTTATATTGATATTGATGCGTAGTATTTACTCATACGTATTGTGAACAAATTTATTCAGCGACGCTGGTTACAACGCAAAATTGCACAAAAATGCTCAGAAATTTTACTTTTGCTGTATACAGATTGCATATTTTTGCATCAGACCAAATAAAAGAAGAAAGAGACAAAAAAAAAAGTTTTTGCTTTTTGTAGCAACTTACAGCAACTTTCGTTACAAAAAGCAATTTTTGACTTTTTTTGTAGCAACTTTTGAGCAACTTTTTGAGAAATTTCGGGCAACTTTTTGGGAAATCTCGAGCAACTTGTGGCAAGCCCTACTTGAAGGTATCAATATATTCCATTTGACGATTAGCTGTTTGATGCTGTTTTTAATTAACAAATTCAGTTACCTTTGAGGATAACACTCCTTTCATCTTCTCCTGCAGAATTTTTAGCAACGCACAGGAACTTGCCCCAGTCCTTATCTGTGATGTTCTTCAGTGTTAGCACCGCCTCAGACATACCATCAGTCAAGACTTTATTCCCTTTGTACCACGTGACGTTAACAGGAGAAAAACTGCTGGCCATGCAATTAAGACTCACGTTGTGTCCCGTTCTGACCAGGGGTGGAGTAGTGACATAGGTGATTCTTGGAAGATCTGCAATGGCTACAAACCAAATTAAAAGCCTGCATCGATGTTCGTTACATAATGATGTTGACTGTCATTTTGTTAATTTTCTTCTTATTCATTAATCCAGCTCTTCGACAAAAGCGTACAACTCGATCTAGAAAGTGCTCTGAAACTCTGAATTGCTAATCAGCCCTTTTCAAAGATGGTAACATAACCTTGTATGAAATTGCTACTTACGTTCTGCCTCGACTTGAAGCTGTATTGTGTCTATTAATGGTGAATTTAAACCACTGTACTCGACGTGGATTCCAAATACTTTGTTTTCGTCTGCGGACTGCACATGATAAAGCACAAACACTGCATGGGAAGAAGTCAAATCTCCTGCCCAACTAACTAAGCCTTCGTATCCTCCTCTTACTTGAACAGAACCGCTCCTACTGACTGCCACAAGTTTTTTACTCAGAACACCTGGAGAACTAGTCCATAAACCAAACGCCACCTCGTAAAGTTTGAAATGACTCGGCTGGCAGTAGCGCCATTCTAAAGAAACATTACTACCAACGTAGACATGAGTGGGCTTAGCGGGTTTATGAGTGAAAGTTTGCTTTTGGCAACCTATTGGATAAAGAACATAAACATTACAGTCAGTAATGATTTTCGTTTTTAAGGTAAGCGAAAATAAACGAAAAGACGTTTTGGTATCTTCTTTGGAAAAGTATTTATTCAAAGTGTTATAGTCAGCACTCTATTTCAATGATAGTACATATTTAGTAATTTCCTTGGTTTCTACGGATGTTATTGGCGTGTGCAAACCAGAGATGACTTAAAACTCAAGTAACTGATCATGGGATGCCCTCCTAACACACACTTTCTAAAGGTCCTAAAAATTAACTCGAAATTCCGAGTTATATTTGATTTATTCCACCTTAATTACGCTAAACTATGCGAATCCGGTCCCACTATAACTAATTGTTCACAATCTGATTTTCGTCTCTAGTTGACTAAAATATAAAATATTTTAGCAGCCCTTTCTGAGAGCCATTTAGAAGAGAGAAGAAGTAGAACATTTGGTGTTCGCAGTTCCAATCAAGTGACATAAACCGAGTGAACTTTACTCAAATTAACGCAATGTTTCTATAGTGGTAATAACATGGTAATGAAAAAGTGTAGAATAGCTAGCCTGGATCCAAGGAATTGAAGAAGGAGGAGGAGATAGTTGTATGTTAACAAAGAATCAAGTTTCAAGGCAGATCGAGGGTAAAGTGAAAGAGGAATAATTGGACAGCGGCTGTTTGCCGGTGCCTTCTAGCCTATATGGAAGTCATGTTGCTTGTTATATTTAGACACCTAGATAAGACTAGCTTTTGAAATGTGAACTAGAGAAAAATGCCATTTCACGCAGTCACTAATTTGCTAATTAACAGGGTTTATGGTTTTCAGCAAGTAAAATTCACTGCTCTGGTCAATGAATTTGATTAAACTCGTCCAATCTTTAAAAAGTTCTACCAATCCTTTCTTGATACAAACAATCTCTGTCAATCAATATCATGTGTAGATCCCTCTTACTAACCAAGATTAAGGTCCGTCCTACAAGTAACGAACGGAGCAGATTTTTTTCCCCGTCGATTTATTTTTATCTCTACTACATATGTCTGACGGGTTCGGGAAACGATTTCAAGTCACGCGGAACGGCTTCAAATTTCTGATGTGTACGTCGAAAACAAAACGAGTCAACTTGACATCGTTGTTAAGTCGGTACCACGTTTTGATAAATAACAATTTAAAGAAAACGAATGCTTAAAACTTTTATTTGGTATGAAAGTTAAGAACGCTTGGCGAATTTTAGCCGGAAGTACAGTAAAGTACTACCTAATAAATGGACCAATCATAACCGCTCAATAACTGAGAGATAAAGATAAATTGATTCTAGTCCATAAACCAGTTAAAGATCGTAAATAATTTTTAAGGAACAAAATCTGAGGTTTAAATCAGTTGAGGAACTAGAGTGATCAAGAAACGACCGACTGTTTTAATAGGAAAACATGGAGTGCAGTGGTCTAAGAAGTCAAGAAACTTTGCCTGAAACAAAGCGAAAGCAATTACAACAAGGGTGTGCATCATCAAGGAGGTTAAAGAAAGACACACTGAATATCTGGCCAATACCGAGTACATTTCATTAACAGATTGAAGCTGAGCAATATTCAGAATAAATGTAATGTAGGTCACATTCACTGCTATAAAACAATGGTTCTTACGAAAACGTTGATTATATAGTATGTGAAAAGCATAGTGCAAGCATCATGTGGCTAATGCTCATGCTTGAATCCATCGTGTACGTTAGTTATCAATGTGAATTCGTACCTGTAGTAAACATTGATCTTGGAAAGTTACTGCTCAGAACAAAAGCTAAGACCCATGGCATGGTGAAACTAAAGTTCGGCGCCATGGCCAGACCTTAACGTTTTGTCGACTTGAGTTGCCTGTGCTTAACTTGACTGATGCAATGATGGCACTCTAAACCCTCTAATGACAGCGTCATAGTTTGTGAATTGATTGATAACCTGGTATCAGTTTACCATCCTTATCAACTCAGTGGGACGATTCGATGGGTAAATCAACGAGAGACAGAGTTTCTCTGATTTTCCAAATGATACAGAACCCGGTAACTGCACTGGCCTAACCGAACAACCGGAAAAATGCTAATTAGGAACTTGAATGATGCTTTCTCAAATAGTTTCCAAGAACGGGATGCACGGCTTTATGAGCTTTCCTAGAAAAACAGCGGTCAAATTTCGGTGACCCGGTAACTGACTATCGCTTAGCAAAATCACCGAGGACTGATTAATCAATCTAGTGTCAATCTGTAGGATGGTTTTCCTCCGCTTTCTTTAGTTTAGCAGCTCACACTTCTCAGTTAATTGTTATATCAGTTGCTGTTAACATGCAACGAGCAAAAAAATGTCGGCGAATTCTCAAGTAAGGCAATTATGTCACGAGTTCCCTTACAGTTAGATTTTCGGGAGTACTGAGCATTGTGACACTAACAGTTGATTGAATGCTTGTCACGGTGGGACAAGTCTTCCTTGAATATATTCCCAGAACAGTGAAACACTGTGTTATTGAGGTCATAAACCAAGAGATTATCACAATGTCCATAATCAATGTCCAGTTGAGCGGTGCAAAATTCAAGGGGAGACCTAGGAAATTCAGAACTGTTTCGCAGACGACAAAGACGACGATGATGATGACGACGGGTATTAAGACTACACTGATTCTTATGACGATAAAATAATTGTGATGTCACAGAAGGGCAGACAAGGAGTAAAGTGGTAACGAGAACAGTATTCAATGGAATGAGGACCTCTTTCAAAAAGGGAATCGTTAAAATGACTTAATCATTAAGGATTTTACATAATTTTTTTGTGATAAAACGATGGTTGCTTTCAAATGCATGCAGTAAGAGTTTTTGATAATTTTCCGATTTTGAAGTTCCTCCCGTTTTTTCTGTCAAGGAATGTAGAGCGTATTGAATTACCGGGAAGACGGACAATGAAAGAAGTCATAACCCATAAACTTCCGTCCACGCGTAATATTCGAAAAAATTACTCTATTACTTGTCATTTAGCTATACTGCAAACAAAAGTCCAAAATGGGTAGTAAGGGATCGTATCTTTATTCCGTTGAGCGAGATCGCTTAAATGAATCACATTCCATATTGAGTATTATAGTATGAGAGGCGGTATACGTCCTGATCCCCCATTCTACAACTCAGTAAAGTTTATCGATGATAATTACTCTTACCTGAACTCCATAACACGTTTGCTGCAAGAAGAAGAAGACAAATTGGTAGAGCGCCTTTTGGCCAGCAGCTCATTTCCACAGCCGCAACTGGACGTAACCCATGTACTGATGGTTTCGTCAGCTCCAGTCGCTATTGAGTGCTAAATAACTTTTTCAAACAACTCAAAGCGATACAGAGAGTTTTGGAAGATCATTCCAGGAGAATCGTATGTTGCGTTGATGCTTGGTTATGAACCGTGCACAACATTCAAAGAAACGTATACAAACGAAACTGAGTGAGAGGGCAGTTTCTGGGACTGTGTTGGCGGCGTTCACTCTTTTGTAGCTACCTGCTCGGTTATATCCTGACGGGTTCGGCAAAAGATAAGCTATGACTACCTATAAAGTCTATCAAATTGCCTCTTGACTGGCTATATCTAACGGAAAAATTCTTACTTTGGTTGAACAAGCTGTTCTTTTTCTAAGAAATCCAGGGTCATAACCTCAATTCACAGTATTTGGTTCAATTGTCTTTATGCTTGGCAGGTATTCAAGTTTCGCTTCTAAATTTAACGTCTACAAATGCTCTATTTTGTGTTAAGTTGAAGATGATTTTTCTTGTCTGAAGTTTATTCTGAGTCCTGCAGTACCTTCACTAGTAGATAACACCAAGGATTAAGTGAATAAAGCCCGGTATTTTTGTCCAAACAAAAGTACCTCTGAAGATCGCATAAATTCCCTGGTTATCTTTGGTACATTTACTTTAGCAATACGCCCTAATGAACCTGATATAGGGGAAGTATATTTTGTCGTTATATTGGTATCAAACTGAAATTACAGGTATAGAGAAGTAGATCAAACATTTTCCTCTTAATGTTCCTCTTAAGGATGTACTTAGAAGATCCGTTTGTGAAGAATCCAAGCAAAACTTATTTGAATAATAAAAAAAGGTTTTTTAAGAGGGCAGTTCTTTGAAGTGTTCTCGCCGCCACTCAGTTGAGTGGCGCTGATTGCAACTGATCGGTTATACGGGCGTGATCCATCCATCATGTCCTTAAACGAAAAAAATTCACCGGCAGACTGTTTATTTAAAAGCAAAACAGTTTATTTTTCTTAGAAAAAGTAGGGTCATGACCTTTGAGAATTTTGTACTGCCTACTTGGCTCCAATTCAAGTTTCGGTTTGAATTTTGTGCAGGTGCCAGTAAACCGAGTGTCAACATGAAATATCAATTAAAGTAGTTGCGTGAAATTCATATAGAGTTCTGGAAAAACGATATTTTTACATGAGCATTACAGTTTACCACCAGTACAATACATCTGCGACAGCAAAAAGTTATTTTTTGCTCGAAAAATGTATGCATCTAAGAAAACAAGAGGCTCAAATGGCTCAAGGCATTTCAATTTCTTACACTCACTTAGCATGAATGTTTATGCAGCACATATTTTAGTTAGTATTTTCCAAGTATTTTCAACCTAATTTGCTGCTCATGGAAATTCGTCGTAAATTCGCTTTAACCCGTCCGCAGTGAAATCATTGTCCAGATGATGAGGTAAATTTGGGGAATCTATTTTTAGCTCATGATGGTGCAACGTAATTTACACTGTGTTTATTTACAGTTTTATTTTCACTAGCTAAAATGGGATCTCTGGTCTGTGGTATTGTCTGGTACTTTACTGTATCAAGTTCCGTGAATGCAGCTTTACATGACTGGTTTGTCGCGAGGTAATGTGCAGTGGAATATCATACGGTGTAATTAAATGTATATGGTATATAAAATGGCATGCCTTAGAGTTGTCGGTGTATTGTCTTACTTCCAGCACAAGATGAGCTACGATGGTACAACAGGCTTGTCATGCTCCTGAAATCAACCAATGAGAAAAATTGTTGTCAGCTTCCGATTACAGGCGGATCTCGTATGAGGTGACTTCCATTGATCAAAATGTTTCATGATGGGCTGGTTTCCCTAACTACATTGTTGAAGACGTTTATATCATAAATATAAATTAGTGAGTCTTCAATGTGACCCTGAAAAAATTATCTCACACTGAAAAAGCGGAATATATTACTGACAAGCCACATATATACCGCGCTATATACCCAAATTGTTTTCAAGGGCTCACATGTTTTGCACGTGTACATGTGTTAGATTGAAAAGAAAACATTATTTCAACTGGGAACAGAAGCATGTGACAGGTGGTTACAGGATTCGTATTCAGAAAACAAATGATGTAAACCGGTAGCGGGTATTTCGCCGCAAAGGGAAATGTCTGACTCACTACTGAAACAATAGTCATCATCATGCAACGATTTTGCTATTTCTGGCAGCCTTTCAGTTTGAACAAATAATGCGATGGTAACGATATGGTCGATTCTCGGCCGACGTTTTAAACGCTCCTATTGGTTGGTTATTTTTGTTATATGATAGGCCAAAACATGTGACAAATTAATTTTGATTGGATGCGCAGACAAGTCACTGTATAATGTTTTTCTCGGAAACGACTGATAATACTTTGCAGGCAGCATTGAAGGAAAATTACATGTTCAGGTTTTGTCTCAAAGATATATGCGCAGGTAATTCAACGGACCTCGGACATTCGCCCACGTTTTACTAAAACAAAAATGGCTAGATATGAATCACCGTTCAAATGCAAACCGTCGAAGTTTTTGCTCTATCTTGTTGTGACTCTGTGCGTCGCAGGTAAGTTTAACCTTACACTCTGCTTTGTGGTTTCTGTGATTCATTTGTCTTTCTTCAAAGTGAAGAGAATGTATTTTTACGGTCAAAAGCAAAGGAAACTGAGAATAACCCGGAAGTATGGATGAAAATTAATAAAATCCTAAGGGAGAACAAACTAAAGGCCCTAAAAACTGTCTGGACACACATGAAAATGTTTTTTGGGGCTATTGAGGGCCAGAGAGTGTATAAGTGGAATATATTTGTCGGGTTTATATGTAATTTCCTTAGACTGAAGGAGTGAGTCGAAACTGAAACTAAGAAGCCTTCGCTCGCTACAACCTGTGAATGGCTCATCAAAGCGAGGTTCCTGTATTTGAAATTCTCGAATTATTACCAAGTTACTGAAGTTAAAGCGAAAGAGGTTTCATATGATTCACGAGGACAATAAAACGACGGTTGAGAACGTGTAAACAACGAAGCGAATAATCGGAGAACCCTTCCATCTAGTGATACTGGCATGCATTGTGCTCGTCTTGTTTATCTATCAGGTCTGGCTTAATTTGTGCCCTCTGCTAGAAGGCCTGCTAAAGAAATGAAACGCATTATTATTTATTAAGCGACTAGAGTTGAATCGCAGCGGAAAAATGTAGTTGTTTTGCCTTAGCTTCAAGCAAAGAACGTTTCTTTCGCTCAGAGTTCCGAGAAATGTTTTCGAAAACGGCGATCAATTCTCAGAATAACGCTTTCGGCGAAATTGACAGGGTTGGTGACCTAAAACATCCTGTTTTTCCGAGAGAGACTATTATTAGAAGCTATAAGCATCACTTAAGGCGAGAATAAATAATGTTGCTGACGGGGTCTCTGGATACGATGTCAGTATTGGCTGATTTCCAGGAAAGTATAAATCAACAAGCCGCAACTCTTGACCGAAAATTCAGGAATCCTGGAATATGGAATCGGGAACACGCGGAAAACGAAGAAAGTAGTGGATGTATTTTAAAATATACGCGATTACAACAGTTGTCAGTTATCTTTTTCCTGAGACTACTCTTTATTGTATATAACTGTCAAACCCACAGTAGCACAAGATTGCCCCACGGTTTCGATCTGTCCTGAAGTTTTAATCTCATATTACCAATTTTGACATGTATTCCCTATTCTATCGTATTTTAAACAGTTGATCACGCCCATAAAGCACAGTTTGCATTGTGGCACATTCTTTATTAACTAATCGTTCAATATTTGTCAGTGTCTTGCCACCAAAGACGTCCGAGACTGGTTTCTCGGCCAAGCAATCCCTTGATTGGCAAAAGCAATGGCAATGCTTCGTTTAACTGGGTGTTTGAGCTGCTACCCACAGAGACATGGAACGAGAGCATATACGAACTGAGCTTCGGGCTCTGGAGCTCTCCAGGATACCTGAAGAAAAAACTCATGGCTATCGACAGACGAGGCCAAGTGCTAGTACGACCGAACTATGAAAACAAAATCAGCTGCCACTTTAATATGTCTCGTCTGCAAGTGGAATTCACACTTCGCAGCTTAAGCAAAGAGGATGCTAAACATTACGGGCTTCATGTTGAGTTTGAGTTAGCTCGAGCTCCCTTGACGGATACTGTCATTCTTCGTATAGAGGGTAAATACTCAGTTGAAATCACTGACAAACTTACCGCATGCGGATTATAGGAAGTAACTTAGTTCAGAGGCACCTNGGCACCTAATTACCTGTTCGGAAGACCTTTAAACCCCTCCGATAAGTCGTTTTGGGGGTTATTTACCGGTTGTAGCCCCCAAGTCGATTAGCCCGTAGCCGGTTAGCCACAACTAGAAGTCGATTAGCCCCCATATTCACGTTAACTTTAAGGAACGCCGGAGAAGAAGACAGGTTTGGACTTCTACTTGGGGCCAATCGACTTCTGGTTGGAGGCTTAACGGTTAGGGGCTAGCTAAACGACCAGCTATCGCTTTAGGTACCGAAGAAAGGTCAGCTATGATTTTCGAAAAGGCAATAAGACCTAGAGTTTTCAGCAAATGGACAAAATCCCTAATATCTGATACGAGAAGACTCAAGTTACCTTAGAATGATCGAACAGATAACAATTTTATATCGCAGCCTAAAATCAACCTACAGGGCTTTGAAAGCACTCCAGGTAGCCTAAAACAGCGTTTAAAGCATTTGAGTGAAAACCGTCATTGGGCGCCCCTGTTGTTTAAATGTAAGGTCTGCAAGGAAGAACGTGTTGACTTCGCTCAGGACGTTTTATTAATTCCAACAAAAGCTGGCTCAATGCACAGAAAGCCCTGCTGTAGGGAATTGCTAAAATAATGAGTGGTTGCATTGGATAAGAAGACAAAAAGCCCCACTCCCTTATTCTTAATTAGGGAGAAGTGCTATGTCCGCAACAACTCAATATAAATGATGCAAACCAAACAACTGAAACAACTCTACTGGTAAAAAAATTTGGTCAAAAAAGTAACTCACTCCTATTTCCATCTAGTCTAGAAACTTGAATACTTTCTCATTCCGCAAAACGATGGTCTCATAAGTATTTGAATCAATTTCAACAGATCCACCACAGAAAATCATTACCGTGAGGAATGGTGACGAAAACGGTAAGCGACCACAAATAGCAGGTAAACTACACTTGACCAGCGGCGGATCTAGACCTTGAGCTAA